CCACTTTGCTCGAGACTTCCAAGTCTTCTTCACAATCCACGGCAAGTTGTCGTTTGGTACCTCTGCTAGGACAAGGACTTGTCATCCTGGAAGCATCATCACGGGATTGTCTGGTGATGGCGGATGTTTGTACGAGTGATACTCGTACCTCGTTATCATCAGCAACAGCCTGCATGACCCTGGCAACGCCGACCCTGGCTGGATACCCCCGCTGAACAGCCAAGAAAGCAAATGAATTGAACAACACAATAGGAGCTTGAACGCAATGGCAAAATGATCCAATACAAAAACACAACAGCAGCTCCAAACATGACATTGTAGAGTTAGACTCTTCTTTTATCAATCCCTTCAATTTAGACTTCAGAAATGATGAGTTCACCATATGCCGCACTCGTTAACATTGCTATAAACACCTGTACTCTAGCGTCCATGCATGCAGTATTTGTAGGTGCGCTTTATTCACAAAGAGCCAGTAGAGTATTTCTTGTTCGAAATGCAAAGAGGCAGGTGCCTGATGTAGCTTTGATGTGCAGGTATGCTTACTATACATGGTCATGGAAGCGCTACAGCAAGATATGTATGTTGGAAGAATGCCACCCTAATCAACTGTTTTGCAGTTTGCTGTTTCGCAGAACAGTTCAACCAGTTGTTCTGGTTGCTCTTGCAAGAAATGCCTTCTTCAGCCATCTTGCTGAACTCACAATCATGAATCACATAAGAGATCCTTTTTGAACTGGTCATAATAGACCAGAGGAATCAAGTCTGACACCGTCCGCCTTCGTGTCCACGTTGAATATTGACCCCAGCCTTGTAAAACTTGATTTGATGCACTGTTAGGTCGTTGTTGACCCCAATAACCGAGGGCTGAGCATTTTCCAATTTATCCAAAGCCTTGCGTAGACATGAAACAAACCTGAATTGCTGGTGAAAATCAGCCCTGCCTCATGAACTTGTCGAGCAGGAGTCATTGTTGCCGTTCGAACATTAGTCAGAACCAATGCAAGCCTTTGTAGAATTTCTGATACAGCAGTAACTCGAGAACTGGTATCAGTGCGGTGATAAGTTTCACCGACTTCTTTACATTTGCCTAGGCAACTTCTCCTTAGATAGAAATACCCAAGATCAGAACTTTGAACAAACAAACAGCAGGTAACATCTCATAACGCGTTGAGCCATATATATATATATATGTGCTCCACAACATAATTGAGCAAATTCAAAGATACGGTTTTTGTTCAAGAGGTTCAGCAAAGAAATCTGATGCTCATCGTTTTCGGCCGGTAAAGCCTGATTGGGATTGGGTTGTGGCAAGAGAGCTTGCTCATGATCAGAATCGGATTCCACCCCTGGGTTTGGATTGTCAGGTTCTGCTTCAGCTGCGACAGTGTTTTCGCCCAAAACGGGCATCTCTGCAGAGATACTAGCATAAACTGAAAGCGCATTTTGTTCATGAGTTTGCCTCAGCATCACAACTTAAGAGTCAACTTAAGCTGTTGCAAGAACACACCTCAACAATTCAACTGAAAAGAAACATGCAAACAATTGAGCAGGCTACTGTTGCGGTGACAAAACATCTCCAGATGTGTCAAAGTTGTTTGAAAGGTCTCGGCTTTGTTGTAGCTCTTCCTTGTGTTCATCGTCTACTTTCCTCTTTCTGGTATTCCTGGGAGCTCTAAATGGTTGTAGCAAGTCAATCCCACCTTCACCACCACCAATTCGAGGATCCTTCTCCTGTGCACCTGCATCGGTCAAACAAAAC